GATGACATGGCAACCCCAGAAAGAAAAGTAACAGGTGTTGGCGAAAATGTGGGGAAATTCTATCCTTGTCCATTGCTGGTGGGAATGTACAAGGGTATATGGTCACTATCAAAAACAGAGTGGCTGGTCCTCAAAATCAATAAATAATTCCTAAGTGATCTAGGAATTCAATTTTAGAGTATATACACAAAATAACTGAAAGCAGGGTTCTGAAAAGATATTTGCACATCCATGTCCACAGCAGTATTATTCATAACAGCCAAAGATGGAGACTGCCTGTGTGACCTGTGTGACACATATGTCCAATGAAATGCTATTTAGCGTCAAAAAGGAAAAATATTTGCTGGGTATGGGTGAAGTATGCCTGGAATCCCAGCACTTGGGAGGCAAAGGAAGGGTCAGCCTGAGCTACACAGTGAGACCACAAAAAAAAGAAAAAAGAAAAAAAAAAAAACCTATGTACTTAAATGGTTAAGGTAGCAAATCATTACTGTTACAACTTGAATAAACTTTCTGAGTTATGCTGGATGAAAAAAGATAAATCCAAAAATGTTATACACTGAAGCTTTCAATTTATATAACAGTCTTAAAATGACAAAATTACAGAGTGGTTCCCAGGCCTGGGGTGCTGGTGCAGGAGCTGTATCTATAAAAGAAGTGATGGAGGACAGAGATGTCTACATCTTGACTGTGCCACAGTATCTTGCTGTGACATTGCACTCCACTTTACAAACGGTCCTAGCTATGAGAGTGTACTACGCTTCTGCAAGATGTGACATCTTATACGGGACATTTTGGTATTACTTCTTACAGTTATATGTGAACCTCAATTTTCCTCAAAATAAAAATGTTTAGCTTAGCCGGGTGTGGTGGTGCACACCTTTAATCCCAGCACTCGAGAGGCAGAGGCAGGCAGGCGGATCTCTGAGTTCAAGGCCAGCCTGGTCTATGTAGTGAGTTCTAGGACAGCTGGGGCTACAGGGAGACCCTGTCTCAAAAAGAACAAAAAAAAAAGTTTAGCTTTAAAAATTTTATTTATTATTGGGTGTGTATGATGTGTGTGTAGGCATGTACACATGTGGAGGCCAGAAGACAACTCTGTGAAGTCAGTTTTTTCCTTCTACCTTTACATGGGTTCCAGGGAGGAACTTGGGTCATCAGGCTTGCATGGCAAGCACTTTACTCACTGAGCCATCTCACCAGCTCCTAAAAGTTCACTTTTTTTTTTTTCTTTTTGAGACAGGGTCTCCCTGTAGCCCCAGCTGTCCTAGAACTCACTATGTAGACCAGACTGGCCTTGAACTCACAGAGATCCGCCTGCCTCTGCCTCCCAAGTGCTGGGATTAAAGGCGTGTGCCACCACGCCCCGCAGAAATGCATTTTTTTTAATAGCTGTAGAACATATATCTACTTATGTCTTATGGAAAAATTTAAAAGAATTCCTAGACAATTAAAAATTTGTATCTTAACCATCAGCATGTCTTTTTAGTAGACAAAAGGTAATGTTTTAAAGAGCTATTTAATGGGACTAGAGATTTTACTATAGCTAGTCCAAGATAGTTTAAAATGCTAAGATGGTGACAGAAATGAGAAATCGCAGGCCTGCAGATCTGTGGGAGAAGAAACTCTATATGGCCTGTAAAGAAGTCCCTTCTAGATAAGGAGCAGATTTTGAACGTTTTTTCTCCTACAAATTGTCTATTTGCCCCAGTCCCATTGCACTTTAATTTCCCAAGTAAATTTTTAAATAAAATAATTCACAACCACAATGTCCCAAAGAAAGCTTTTGTGACTTTTGGTGGAATTTCAGAAACAGTAATTTAAATATCAGAAAAAATCTAAAAGTATCTTTGGTTCTTTAAAACTTTCCTCTATAAACTCTTTAAGAAGTAATATGGTGGGGCTGCGGATGTGGTTAAGTGACAGAATGCTTGCCTGCCCCACGTAAGGCCAGCATCACCAAAAATATGATTCCCTTTGTTTTTACTAAGAGGATAGAGTATTTGGGGGGGGGAAGAACAGAACTGGGTAAATGGGCTAGGTTTCAGAATGCCCTGTCCCTGGTGAAGCTGGGTGTGATCTGGCAGGCTCACACTTAGGCAGGCCTCTCTCAGGAGCTCTGAGGATCTTTTCCCCTATTTCCCTCCCGACAGAACCTCCACTACAGCAACTTCCCTGACAAAGCTGGCCTCTGGCAGCCAGGTCTGAAGACTGGCTACCCTACAGCAGAAGAGAGAACTGCTCAGTCACAGGCTGCTCAAGATCAGTTGGTGGAAATTTTGTCCTCCTCCAGCACACTTGGGATCTACCTGCAGGGCTAAGCAAAACTGCAGTGAAGAAGCCTTCCTTATCAGGGCCCCACTTTGGGTAGTTCTGGGTTATAATTAGAGATGGTGTCACAGTTTGGCAGCCCTGCCAAGTCTTACATTCCTATCCACTTCCATAATTAAACTCATTTTTAATCTCTATTTTATTAACCAACCATTTACAAGATGCAAATAACATTTTCCCCATCTCTAGCCCCTAGCATCTTGTTTTAATCCATACTTTTATAATGTAAGCATATCTAACTCACCACAGGATTTAAATTAAAAGCCTGTGGTTGCTTCTGGATAAGAATCCTTGGAGCATAAAGAAAACTTCCTTTAAATGTTTCTACTTGTGAGTTTCACAAGCCCAGAGTCTGGAAAGAGGAGCTCTCTCTAGGCATGGTATCAGATTTTCCCGTAAAAGTTTCTGTCTTTTATGAATTCATAATTCATATTATCCAAGTACATAAGAATAATCAAAAGACAGACTTTAAGCCCTCCTGAGTTCAATTCTATTGGTCTATTCCTTAGGAATGAGTGTCTACAAAGCCCAATCTCCTCTCATACCCCAATTGTTTTATCTTTCCAAAGCAGGGTCTCCTGGAGGTCAAACACCTCTTTTGTCATGGTGTCTATTTTCTGCTGTAGGCGCTGATTCTCCTGCAGAAGAAGAGGGGAAGGGAAGTAATACAAGAGCAGAAAGAAAAAAGCAAGGGAGTTAGAAGGATGAAAACAGAACGAAAATAAGGTGGATAATTTTTTTTCAAGGGGACAGGGGAGTCTGTGATAAACAGAAAAGGCAAGAGTAGTTTGCTAAAGGGAAAAGTGACATACAGTATCCTGGGGACAAGAGTTAAGCAAGGAAAGGCAGGGATATGCAGTTCAGGGGTAGAGTGTGTGCTGGGGATGCAGCTCACAGCTCTGGGTTTGATCCCTAGCACCACAAAAGAACAGGGCAGAGGCAAATATAAGCAGAGGGATTGGGAATAAATGACTGTTCTGAGCATAGCTCTGTGGCAGCCAGCCAGCCTGGGGTCTCTGTATACACACAGCTCTTATGCATTCTTTCTGTGATAATACTGCCCTTTTTTCCAAACATGGAACCACTTATATTTGCAGAAGGAAACTTAGGTTTGCTTATGAACAAATGGTCCTTTACCACATAGAACAAAAGTCATTTTGAATTAAACTTTTTACTTATTTATTTTTATTTACTTATTTTGATCTTATGTGTATGAGTGTTTTGCTTGCATGTATGTACTAAGCACACCCAGGTGCGTAATGCTCCCAGTGGTATATTGTTAGCCCCCATGTAGGTGTTTGGGACGGAACCCCAATCCTCGCAAGAGCAACCAGTGCTCTTAACTGCTGAGCCAACTCTTCAGCACCGAATTTTACTTTTTAAAGCAGAACTAAAAAAATAAAAGACAGACATATCTTGGCTTATTTTTTATTTTTGTTCAAAAGTGAAAAGATCAAGAATATCATGAATTGGGGCTGGAGAGATGGCTCAGTAGTTAAGAACACTGGCTGTTCTTGTAGAGGACCCAGGTTCAATTCCCAGCACCCACATGGCAGCTAACAATAGTCTAAAACTCGGCATTGCATGACACGGGTGCACTTACCTACATGCAGGCAATACACGCATACACATAAAATAAAAATAATAAAATATTTTTTTAAAAAAAGAATATCATGAATTCTATAAGAAACATCAGTTCTTAGAAAAATAACATTTTAACATTTAGCAGGTCTCAAACTCTGATTAGGCAATGACACTGTTCTAGCCAGCATTGACCGTGAACTTGACATAGCCTAGAATTGCCTGAAAAAATGTCTCAACTGAGTACCGGTCTTTATTATGTTGATCTGTGAGCACGTCTGTGAGGGCAGTCTTGATTATTAATTGAAGTAGGTGGGCCTAACCCCTGTGGGCAGTACCACTCCCTGCGATGGTGGTCCTGGGCTATATAAGAAAGCTAGCTGAGCATGAGTGAGTCAGCTAGCAAGTGGCATCCCCCATGGTTCCTGCTGTTATTTCCTTGGTTATGAGTAAGCTCCCTGGTCTGATGTAATGCTCTGTGGAAAAGCATTCAGTCCCACCTTTAGGTTCCTGCCTTCAGTTCCTGTACTCATTTCCCATTGAATGATGGACTGTGACCTGGAAGCATAAGATGAAATAAACCCTCTCCTCCCCTAAGTTTTATCAAAGCAACAGAAAGGAAACTACAAGAGCTGTTTACTCTCAGCCTCTGAGGCTCAGCAAGTATTTGCCTGTGAGTTATTGATAAATTATCAGTCACACCTTCCCTACTTGTGCACCACCTACTTGACTATTCACATCTTAATTCTAGAGACCAAAAGGTATTATTAAAGGTTTTTCAGTTGTGTCTAACATCCAAAAGATAATTGAAAACATTAAAAAAAAAAACTAGAACTAAGGCTTTCAAAGTTTGTATCCAGCACCGTGGACTTATTTTTTAAGAAAGCACTGTGACAAATTAGACAATCTAGCCTTACTAATATAATTCTTAATTAAAATGGAACCAGTTAGCCAGGTGTGGTGGCACACACCTTTAGCCCCAGCACTTGGGAGGTAGAGGCAGGTGGATCTCTGTGAGTTCCAGACCAGCCTGGTAAGTTCCAGGCCAGCTGGGGCTACAGGTAGACCCTGTCTCAAAAAGAACCCCCTGCCAAAAAAAAAGCAAAACAAAACAAAACAAAACAAAACTCCAGAAACAGTTAGGCATAGCCAGGGTGATGTACTACTGTTTTCAGCACAACTGTTTTCATCGTGTTTCTATGGACCACCCTGGTCTGCATTAGGTGTGGCCATAATGTGGCCTAGAACCCTCCACTAACAGAGTTCTGAAAGACACTCTGCTGTAGACAACTGTCCCCTTTCTGTGTGTGACCCAGATCTTGACAATTCCTTCCTTTTCATTTAGCTGCCTCAGAAATGCATTTACCTGAGCAGAGGTCAGAATTTTTACTTCTCAAGAATCATGTGCTACAAAGTGGCATTCATTGGGATCCAAAGAACGATGTTGTCCTGTAATTCTTCCTTTGGCCTATTCCCTATATCTTTAGGGAAAAGTGCTTAGGAATAAAAGACACTTGCCAAAACTCCTGCTATTAAGGGATGAATGTTTATAGAGTCTGTAGGTATTCATTTTTTAAGCTTGCTGTAATATTCATTTTGGAAAAATTTTAATAGCCAAATGTTAACACAAACTCTTTGTAACATTTTGACATTCTCCCAACACACACTCCCTCATCCTATCCAAACTCATTTGTTTTTCAAAATTAGTTGCAGTTCATTTACATACCTCAATGAGCTCATCTCTTTGCCGAAGGCCTTCTTTGAGTTCATCCATCTTATGCTGCAGTACACTACACATATGCTTCTGCCTTTCTAACTCCTGTTATTAAAGAAATGATATTGTTACAGAGGTCATGGCATAGAACAAAGTTGAACATATGCAGTTTAACAGAGGCCAAGTATAACTTCCAGAAGCTGCTGACTTGCATTCACTAGAAAGGGTTAAAACTTTAAAATTCTCATCTCATATGATGAAGGAAGGTAAGAAAAGAGACAAGTTCCTCAGTTACGTTTAAAAATGTTAAATTTATTTATTTTTATTTTATGTCTGAGTGTATTGCCTGCATGTATGTTAAGTGCACCCGTGTCATGCAATGCCCACAGAGGTCAGAAAAGGGTGTTGGATCCCATGGAACTGGAGTTAAGGGTGGCTATTAGCCGTCATGAGTGCTGAGAACTGAACTCGGCTCCTCTGCAAGAGCAGCCAGTGCTCTTAACTGCTGAGCCACCTCTCCAGCCCCAACATTTTGAAATCTAAAAAAAAAAAAAAATTAGTACAATTATTTTGTGTATATGTGCCGTGTTGTGCATATGGAGGTCAGAGGACAACTTGTGGGATTCGGTTCTCTCTTTCAACTATGTGGTTCCTAGGGAAAAAGCCCAGGATGTCAGGCTTGGTGGGAGATACCTTTAGCTGCTGAGACAGCTCTTCTGCCTACATTTTGAGAAAAAACTTTTTTTTTTTTTTTGGTCTTTTTGGTCTCTGTAGCCCCAGCTGGCCTGGAGCTTGCTATATAGACCAGGTGGGCCTTTGCCTCCCCAGTTCTGGGATTAAAGGCGTGTGCCACCACGCCCGACCATTTTGAAAAATTGTAACATTAGTGGTATTCTTAAACTTTTGTCTGTTGCTATAATGAAATACATCATATAATGAAACTGACCCCTGTGTATCTATGCATATGAGCATTCTACTGCAGAAGGCAGTATCCATTTGGAACAAGAAAGTACAATGGCTCAGAATCTTACAAAATGGTCTCTGGGATAGAAGACAACCAAAGAGGAAGCCACTTACTATCTCCAAAGCATCTTCTTCAATGCTCTATTACTATCCTAGCACAAAGACATCCAGATGCCTCATTTTCACATACCTAGACCCCAGCAGCATTTTCAAACCAGTCTTTGAAACAGTTTTAGGACCACAGCAACACTGAGGAGAAACCAAAGAATTCCCATATACCTCCTGTTCCCATAACTGCAGAGTCTCTCCTGTTATCATCCACACCCTCATCCACACCTGAGTGGAACATTTGATTCAGTCAATGAACCTACACTGGACATCATTACTACCAAAGGTTCTCAAAGGTTGTACCAAGTGTCTCTTTCTTCATATGTGCAAATTCAGACTGCTGTTTCTAACAGTGCATCAATATGTATTTCCTATATTGGCTGGGTTTTATTTATTTATTTGTCTTTTTGAGACACAGTCTACCTGCAGCCCCAGTTGGCCTGGAACTTACTATGTAGACCAGACTGTCCTCGATCTCACAGAGATCCACCTGCCTCTGCCTCCTGAGTCCTGGGATTAACTAAATTGTTTTCTTGATCTTTTTTCTATATTGGCAAGATAACAATGTTTCATTTCTGACAGTAATATCCACTTATTCCCTGCTTAGACAGACACCAACACTTTAAAATGTCCAGGTCCAATAAAATTTTAATACAACCCACTTTGTATTCTGTAGGTACCCAAGGACAAATATGGAACGTGGACAGTAGCTTTATTTTCTAATTGTACTTTAACCTTTTAAGAAAATGTCTGTCAGTTTCGGCCTCATGTCATTACATTTCTCTTTCTAAGTTACTAGTTAGAGACTTCACTTTAGTTATCTGGAAAGTGGATTCTAGTCAGAAATGCACAGAAAAAAACTCATCTAAATCACTGAGAGTCTCTGCAGCTCTGTGTAGCTCCAGCCACTAGCAATAGAAAGAGGATACTTAAAAGAATCAAGAGAAGCATGCCTTCAATCCCAGCACTTGGGAGGCAAAGGAAGGCCTGTAAGTTCGAGCATAGTAAGTTTTAGGCCAGTCAGGGCTACAGAGTGAGATCCTATCTCAAAAAAAAAATAAAAATAAAAATAAAAAAGAAAGAAAGAAAAAACAGAGATACTTGAGTGTAATCTAATCTACTTTTTAAAACCTAAAGAAGGATAATATAGGTCTTTCCTTCAGAAAATAAAAATTTAAGAACTGGCAGGATGTCTGGCTGATGTCTTAGATCATTCAATTTTGACTGCACCTGTGGTCTCCCACCAACTGCACTATTCTTTAAAATGGCAGGCTTTGATTTTTCTCTCCCAAGAAAATATGCAAGATGAGTAATTACCTTTGATTTTTCCTCATTTTCTCTATAAAATTCTGCCATCTGTTCCTCCTGCTCTTCAATAACATCCCTGAGGGTGTCTACCTGGTAGACCAGATTGTTCTTCTCATTGTCCAGCTGTGCGTTGGAAACCATGGCCTTCTTGTATTTTTCTTCCACTTCAGACAAAGACTCCTAAATGACAAAAAGAATTAGTTTGACGTCTAAGACATGCTCACTGCATGTGTGTGACAGAGCACCAAAGCTCAGCATGGTACCAACGTAAAGAAGGATTTGTGCCTGACATAAACAGTCTGGGAACTCCTTGTTTAGTAGTGTGCACACAGAACAGAAAGAGGACAGAAGACAATGTGAAAAGCATTCTCTTTGCAACCTACAAACACAAAAGCAGCAACGTTGTCTCTGAAAAATGAAAAAGAGTGCAGAAAACATGTATTTTTAATAAATCAGAAAACAGAATCATTAATATCTCCAGAAGTTACTGTGGTTTTTAACAGGCAAATGTCTGCTGTTCAGAACACAGCAAGAGAGCAGTTTCTCTTAACACAAGTATACCCTTATCTGCATGTTGGCATTTTTTGGATTTCTGTTTTCAGTATTTCCTTATTGTACATAATAATGCTAACGTAAATGTAAACATTTTTCCTAGCAATTAACCATATTTCAAAATAAGCAATATAAAAATGACTTAAGAGTCATCATACAAATTTTATATAACTCGAAAGCTGTTTACCTAAGATAGTGTACAAGCTTTTAAAAAAAATAACGATTTAATTTGGTAATTACTACTGCCTATCGACTTTTATTAAAAGATAAAAAGGAAAAGTCAATTAGAAAAAGTAATCACTGTTGAAGGTAACTTTAAAAAAAAAAAAAAACTAGAACAAATATTCAATAAACCAAAGTCAGTAAAACAGATGTAGGACTCCAGAACCCTTACATTTGTAATGAGTTAAATTTTTGACAGTGGTACCCATATAATCCAGTAGGAAAAGAGCAGATGATGCTAGGACAGCCTCCTTCTTTGGAAGAATGAAGATTAACTCCTACCTAACACCACATACAAAAACTAAAAAGAAACCAAAGATCTAAATGGAAAAGCTAAAACTATAAAATTCTTCATAGAAAATAGAGAAGCAACGGGGGTAACAGTTTCTTAACTATAACACCAAAAGCACTCACTATCAGCTAAGAAGAAAAAGGAAGACTTTATTAAAATTTAAAACTTTATACTGCAAATGATATTCCACAGAATGGGAGAAAATACTTGTAAATCTTTTGAGAACTGATTTCTATCCAGAGCATTTGCAGATTCAAAAGTAAAAGACACAACTTGAGCCAGGCATGGTGGTATAGACCTTTAATCCCAGCACCTGTGACCCAGTCAGGCAGACCTCTGTGAGATTGAGGCCAGCCAGGTCTACATAGTGAGTTCCAGGCCAGTTGGGCTACGGAGAGACCCTGTCTCAAAAAAACCAAAATAAAAATAAATAAATAAATAAATAAATAAATAAATAAAAACTCAGGAGTGGCAATGACTTGAAGGGACAGTTCCCCAAACAGGGCACAGGATGAGCACAGAAAAGCATGCTCAGGATCGTCACTCACTAGGGAGACATACCTCAAAGCCATACAGTGCAACTCTGGGAACAAAGCAATAGGGACAGGAATAAGGGGAGATGCTCAGTGGGAGAGACGCTGCCTTAATCCCTAGCAACCCCTTCTCCCACAAAAAGAAAGAGGGAGGATATGGTGAAACTGGATCTTACACTGCTAGTGGGATGTAAGTGTAGCTACTTTGGAAACAGTTTGGCAGTTCCTCAAATGCTAAACATAATGACTATATGAGCCAGTAATTCTATGTTTTACAAACTATAACTGAATAGACAGGCAAGATTTAAAATAGCATTGGAAACATTTAACTAAAAGTCAACTACAGGAAGGTCCAAATACAAACAGCATCTTCATACAATATCAAATTTTATTCAAGAGGCTAAGAAGAAAATGAAGTGCCCATCACAATTCAGCAGCATATAAAATGCAGTATGACTCCATGAGTAGCAGGAGTAGGTACTGGCTACATGGACAGAATATGTAACGCAACAAACTTCACATAAAATTGGTGAATGTGATTTCCCTATAAAGAGAACATAAGAGACTTTAAAGTGGGGCTAGAGAGAGGGCTCAGTGGTTAAGAGCACTGGATGGCTGCTCTTCCAGAGTTCTGTCCTAGCACCCACATCATGCAGCTCACAACTGTCTCTACCTCCAGCTTCAAAGGATCCAAGGCCGCCTTCTGGTTTCTGCAGGCATCCACACCCACACAAATGTACAAAAATAAATGTAAATCTTTAAAAAGAGACTTGTAGGGGGTCTTGAGAGATGGCTCAATAGTTAAGAGCATTGGCTGCTCTTACAGAGGACCCAGGTTCAATTCTTGGCACCCACATGATGGCTAACAACCATCTGTAACTCCAGTTTCGGGGGATCCAACGCCTGCTTCTGACTTCTTTGGGCATTGCACGACACAGGTGCACTTACATACATGCAGACAAAACACTCATACATGTAAAATAAAATAATAAAGAAAATAGAAAAAAGAAAAGTGTCCAGGTGGAAAATATCTTAACCTTACTCATATAGTGATAACCATTAGACTGAGTTTTATAAAAATGCAAATTTCCAACCTTATCTCAGACCCACTGAATAGAAAATCTGGAGGTTGAGTCCATCAATTTCTATTTTAAATAGTTCCAGGTGATTATGATATACACCCGAGTTTTGAGGTCACCGTGTAAATGTTTAAGCTTTGACTGGCTATGCTCAAATACTCCCCCAGAAGAGCATTTGCAACTTGTGGCCAAATCCTCCACTAGCTTGAAATGTTATTTTATTCTCAGTTCCTTGCATAGAGTGGACACTTCATCTATTGAACAACTTATAGCTGACAAAATTTCCATTTGTATTGTTACCTCTCTGTTCAACAGTTCTATCCTAGCCTTCTAATAATCAAAAGTATGAATAAAAGAACCTTTCTAAAAGGTTATTGGTTTATTTTAAGTCATGGTGTTTATCAGAGCAACAGAAAACAAACCCATGGTTATGTTTTCATGCAAAGGAAAAAAAATACAAATAAAGCAAAATCCTTCCTTTACCATACTCCCCCTCCAGAGGCACCAGTATGGTGAGTTAAGTGGAAGACACTTCAGGATGCTTCCTGTTCGTTTATGCACATATCCACGCTTTTGCCTCTGTCAGTATTTTGAATTAAAACTATATACATTTTGATGCACAGTTAGCTCCCCCAATATCATGAAAAGCTTCTACTCACTAGAAATTTACTATGATTTACTATGTTCTTTTACCTACTACTATAACTCTGAATTAAAATTCAATAAGGCATTAACTTTAATTTTAATAGTTTTAAAAATAGGTTACTACTTTAATTTTAGAACTATCAAGAATCCTTTAAAACACTTAAGTTTTTCAATACTATTTTATTATATTTTCTAGGTAATATGTATGTAACATAGAGTATATGCCATGGTCTGGTGCAAACACTGTAATATTCCTGATTAAAAAGCAGGGAGTCTTAGGGAAAACACTCTAAAAGTAATCATCGTAATTAAGAACAAAATGTTTTAAATAATGAACCATCATTCTTTTTTAATAGGACATATCACAGCACCATGGCCAATCACCAATCAGATACACTTTTGTTATAATATTTCTTCCAATTAAGTAAGTAATTTCAAGAACAGACTCTGAAGTAAAGGTCAAAGGTACACTAAGAATTTCCTCTCCTCTCCTCCCCTCCCCTCCCTTCCCCTCTCCTCTTCTCTTGGTCTTTTTGAGACAGGGTCTTCCTGTAGCTCCAGCTAGCCTGGAACTTGCTATACAGACCAGGCTAGCCTTGAACTCAGAGTTGGCTACCCCCCCAACCATCCCTCTCCAAATTTCAACTCAAATCTGGTGAGTTTTAATACTTTTCAAGGAATGTAATAAATTATAGGTATAAAATTAGGAGAAACTTTTTTTTTGTCTTTTTGAGACAGGGTCTCCCTGTAGCCCCAGCTGTCCTGGAGCTCACTATGTAGACCAGGCCGACCTCGAACTCAAAGAGATCCGCCTGCTTCTTCCTCCCCGAGTGCTGGGATTAAAGGTGTGTGCCACCACACCCAGCCAGAGAAAAATCTTTTAAATAAAGTTTTTAAAACCTGTAAAAATACCTCCAAATCAACGATTGCATTCCTGATATGTTTGCTGCATATGACAATAACAGAGCATATTTATCTAATATGCTGGATTTGTTCCCTCGGTACAAAATTTCTACAAGTTACACCACTAAAACCTGAAAGGGCAGATTAAGTTTTAAGATTAGAGCAGTAAGAAAAAATGAGTCCATCAACTAATTGAACTCTCCTGATGTTTACTCACACCTCATATCAAGCATCCAAAGGCCTTCCCCATAGGACGGACTTCCATCCTTTGTGGTTCTGCATCTTTACTGTGAATTTTTATGGAGCGTGCTGCCCACACAAAAGTTTTGACATAGCGCTATTTCAGCTCCTAGCAGGAGGTTGTAGGAAGTCAGAAGGGCTCCAGAAGCTCTGCTTGATATGTAGCATATCTGAGTCACCTTTTGGAAAGCCCTGAGTTTATTCTTCCAGAGAACTGGTGCAGGTCTAGACTTCAAATCAGTATACATTATTCAGAGAAGCCTTTAGTTTCTTTGTAATATTGAGCAAGAACTTAATACTGAAACATGGGGAAATAAGCATAACCAAATGTCTGCTTGACACATTTCTACTGTAAAGTACAGTCATCCTTGCTGGGCATAGATAAATGTCATTCACATTTACCTGTAATTTCTTTCTTTTTTTAAAGATTGGCTTTAAGTTTTTTTATTACCTTAGTGTGTGTGTGGGTGTGTGTGTGGGGTGTCTGTATGTCTGTGTGTGTGTGGGTGTGTGTGTGGGGTGTCTGTATGTCTGTGTGTGTGTGCATGAGCTGTATACAAATGCCATGGCATACATGTAGAGGTCAGAGAACAACTTGCAGGAGTCGGTTCTCTCCCAAGGACTGAATTCAGGCATGGTGATAAGCTCCTTTATCTACTGAGCCATCTTGCCAGCTCCAAATTCTTTTAAGACACTAGACATATGTAATCCTTCTTGCTATACGTACAGGTAAGAAAAGAATCTAAACAAAATGAAAATAGGTGTGCATGCATTCAGGTTCCTTCCTCTCAAAGGGACAGAATAATACTTTTTCCTTTCATGTTTAATATTGACTGAATTAGGTGATAAAATAAGGTGGTATGTTTTAAAACACTGAGTTGGGAAATTTTTCAAAGGTCCAGTTTTCAATAAAAATATCCATAGAATATCTTGTAGGTGTTTGTCTAATTTAATGTTGTATGGCTAAGACACAAGAAACAGCTAAGTACTTTACAAGTCTTAAAAATAAGGAATTGGATGTGGAAGAATACACTTATAATCACAGCACTGAAGCTGAGGCAGGGGGATCACAAGTTTGAGGTCAGCCTAGGCTACACATTTGTCTCAAAATAATCCAAAATTGTAAGTTATATCTTTTGCTGAATTTCTCCCTCAAACCACACTGATACTTAAGCAAAGACTGAAAACTCCTCTTTCCTGTGCTTTGCAGGTTAAGCACATGCTTGAAGGACAAACACTGTTTGTTAGTAAAGCTATATGCAGCGGGTTAATAGGACTTATGAAACCACCATTACCAACACTTCTGCATACAAGGCATGCTTGGGCTATGGAAGGAGCCCTGTACCTTTAGTTCTTTAAGCCCCTGCATGTATCTCCCTTCTACATCCTGAATCTGGTCTTTCAGGTCATAGATATCCTGCAGGACATAGGAACGAACCATCACATCAACTACGCATACAGAGATCTTAAAGCTCAAAAATATCAGATGCAAATACAACTTACTTAACTAAAATGAGAAATCTAAATATAAAAACACACCTTCTACTTCAAACCACTTAAGATGACAATGGAGCTGCAGAAATCAACTAGTGTCAAATATTTTCTTGGTACTGAATTCTGTTGAAAACAGCATTAGCAAATAGGAGAAGGGCTATATACCAGAAAAGCTGTATCAATTCTAGCATTAATTTTAATATAATACTTCATTTGTAACTAGTTAAAACACAAAGTAAATTAACTGGAAATAATTCTTACAATCCATGCATAAATTTAAAAAAATATAATATACCATATGAACAAAGTTGTTTTTAAGTCACTTACTGACCATGATTAATTTGGGAGAAAGGGAAGGAAGTTAAACACAAATATTGTGAATGCAATGTCAAATGAGGATACTAATTAAATGATCCCGAGGATACTAATTAAATGATGAGAAAAGCATTTGCTCCAAATGTTTCCATAATCCCTTTTAAAAAGTGAAACGGGCCAAATTTTAAATGGAAAATATTCTTTCTCTTGTGTCCAACACTGTTGGGAAAAGCCAACTGCCACAGGGCCCTGAGTATGACTCTGATGGGCAGGATGGACTGCTGAAGGCCATTCATATACACTTTTGGTACTGTCCTCTCTGCCTAGCTCATTCCCTCTGTGCTTGGTTTGTTAGTCTTACTCACTGATTCATTCAACAGACATTTACTAGAGGACTTACCAGATGTCAGATGCTAGGACTAAAAAAATCTCACTTCCTTTGAGGAGGTTATTCTTTCAAGGGGAAAAACATAATAAATAAAACAAGTGTCAAGTACTATGACAAGAGTCAGCTAAATCCAAGGCTGACAGAGTTGCATCCTTTTGTGCCACTAGAATGTAGCTGCCTAAAGAATTTGCTTTATTCTAACTCTGCGCCCCCAGCACTTACGCCTGGTAAATGGTAAGAGCTCAAAGAATACTGACATATTCAAAGCCAAGGCCACTGTCCTGGTCAACTCTGCTTCTCTGCCACTGTTCCAGGCCTCCATCATTCTCCCCTCCTCATCCATCCCTGGCCTCCAGTCAATTTCAACAGCCCTGTTTCACATACCAGATGCCTGTTCCAGTCTACAGTCTTCTCTTCCACAGTGGCAGCCAGAGAGCATGCCCACCAGGCACGCCCTTCCACATAAGCCCCACCCTCCTCTTGCCTCAGGCCCTGTGCTGCCAGCTGTCTTCTCTCTCTTGACCTTCAACCCCCCTCTCCACTGGCTCAAGCCAACCGTGGAAATATAAGTGACCTCGTCTTCACAAGAAAGCAGCTCTTAATCTTCCATCTCTGTCTACTTTTGGTCCACCTAAATTCTAGTGTAGGAGACACCTTGTGATTTGGTCCCCACCCTCCCATTTTCTTTCACAGCAATTGCTCTTTCCTTGTCATCCATCCTATCCTCTGACAATTCTGTATCAATAATGTTCTAGTTCTCTGAATTCCTCCGAGAAAGCCTTCCTTCTTCAACTTTCTTGTTTTACTAATTTTCATTTCTTCAAGTCTTACCTCTGAGCTCATGTTCTCTGAAAAGCCCTTTACTATCTCTTTTCCCAGTCCAGTTTGCATGATGCCTTTCTGGACTAACTGAATTCTGTATTTGCTATCATCATATCACATCAGCTGCTTTAAATCAGTTTGTCCTTTCAATGAGACAGTGACGTCCTAAAGGCCAGAATGTGTTTTGGTATCTAAATCTCCAGAGCAAAGTGTTCAAAAACTGTGAGTGAATGAATAAAGAAAGAAAGAAATGCAGTTTTTTTTTCCCACAAATCTTGATTCATTTCTCACAGATAGCAGGTTCAAATAATCTAGTTAAAAACAAAACTTCTTTTAAGTTCTCATCTTTCAAATAAAAGGGTTAATAAAAACAGAGATTCAACTAATGGGCCAAGCAAACTTTCCATTAGCTCAGGTATCTCTGTTATCCAAATATACTTCTATTACTATGAAAAACTAAGATAACTGTATTCAAACAGCTGAATAATATGATAATGGCTCAAAAGACTAATAATTCCCACAATCCAGTTGTTTGTAAGGTCAAATATTTTCCATTTAAAATATGGTAAGTTAATTCTGAATTAATTTCACATACATAACAAAACTTTTTGGCACTGGCAGAACTCATTCCAATACAAACAAATTTTCAGGAAAGAAAACTGGAAACAGACTTATCTAATCTCCTTCCTTTCAGCTCTGAAACATCCAAAGTGCAATTTTGAAGCTATAGCAACAATTTCTTTACAGAAATCCTATTTTGTTCTTAATAAGTCACATTAAAAGTTAAGAGTTCCAGTGAGCTACAAAGAAACCAAAGGCTGTTTTTCAAAAACAAAAAAGAAACTGTGGTTTACCCGCAATTCACTTAACGAGGTGTCTGGGTCTATTAAGCTGCTGGTGTCCCCACTTCCCCGTCTGGAGGAGTTTCCACTTAGAGGGGTTGTTGCTGAGGCAGAATTTCGAGATGAGGGCTAAAGAGAGAAATATGGTATTTCTAAGTGCAGTTTCTTTAAATAATGCTTGCTGTGAAAATTAAAAATGGGGCAGGATGGTGGGATGGATGAGAGTTTCAGATGGACATACTAACAGTGTGGCCAAAAAGTTACTAAGTGCATCCATATTGGCAATTTAGACTGGTTTCAGGACAGAAAGCATCCAGAAAAGAGGCCAGCCATACTAAGCATCATTTATTACCTCAAATACTCAGAATCTAGAATTTGTAATTCAAATATGAAAATAGTTTTTTTATAGGAGTTGTTTATATTCGAGGTTTATCTTTGTGGTATTCAAGTGCTTAGTCAGGTAAGCTTATTAATTTGGAGAAGTGTTAGAACTTTATAATCAATATGCTAATTAGTGATTCCCTTTTTAGTTCCTAAAACTGAATAAGAATCTCATCTTTGTTAATACGAGCAACAACATTTCCTGTCACTGAATTCACACCACTTTCCCCAAAAGTATGCTATTGACTAATAAATAGCATCGCCGGGCGTGGTGGCACACACCTTTAATCCCAGCACTTGGGAGGCAGAGGCAGGTGGATCTTTGTGAGTTTGAGGCCAGCATGGTCTACATAGTGAGTTCCAGGACAGCTGGGGCTACAGGGAGACCCTGTCTCAAAAAGACAAAAAAAAAAAAAAAAAAAAAAAAAAAAAAAACAAAAAAAACAAAGATCTGTGCTGTCTAGTTGTGCTAATCAAGAGCCACATGAAACCACTTGAAATGTCATTAATCCAAATTGAGATGTAGTATAAAATAAATACATACCAGATTTTGAAGGCTTAATGTAGAAAAAAAGAGTGCATAATGTATACCACACTGATCCTTTTCCAGCTGAGTACGGCAGTGCATACCATGTAATCCCAGCAACAGGCATTCAGAGCAGGACACAGAGTTCAAGGTCAGCCTAGGCTATATACTAAGATCCTGACTCAAATATAACAAAACAAGTAACAAACAAAAACATTATATTGGCTATGTTGAAATACTTTTGATATTTGGGTTAAATATTTAATTTTGCTTCTTTTTGAGTGTGGCTACAAGAAAATGCAAACTTATATGGCTTGCAATTCTGTTTTGCATTGTATTTTTAATGGCCAGAGCTGATTCTTGGGTATAACATAAAATTCAATCCAGCAAATCATTTCCTTGACTTCTGACCTCTTTTTTTTTTTTTTTTTTTTTTTTTACCCAGTCTAATTTGTGACACCTTTTTGAGACAAGGTCTCCCTGTAGCCCCGGCTGGCCTGAAATTCACTATGTAGACAAAGCTGGCTTCGAAGTCACAAAGATTCGCCTGCCTCTGCCTCCCGAAAGTGCTGGGATTAAAATCATGCGCTACCATGCCCGGCTCCTTAACTGAAAATATTTTTAGAAAATAGGAAGTTTACCGTAACTCCTAGGAAGGAGCTATTTTACTTCAAGAAGTGATTTATCTATAAGAGAAAAAATTTAAACTGAGTTTACAGCCCCCCATTCCTAGACACTCCATCGTTAAGGTTTAAACAACTTCTCGAGATCAGTTTCTAGAAGAGTGGTCAGCAGCCCAAGAGCGAAATGAGGCGACACCCCGTGAAATGAAATGCAGGCTTCTCTTCCCAGGGCTTTCACATGAGCTAAGGCCCAAGGAATTCTGAGAGGTCAAGGACAGGAAATAGACGCAGATGAAGGGATGAAGAGAAGCGCTACTAAGTAGACCAAGTGTAGAGAAACAGAACAGTCATAGAGAGCAAGTTTGACTGACCTTGAGAACCTAACTCCCTTGAGAATTTATATACTCACTCTTGTGTAATTTTCAGCATACTGTTTGTCAGATTTTTCATCCAACTAGAAAAAAAAAACAGAGATAAAAGTCAAGAAAGATGCTTAGCATGTTGATTTTTTATTTTAGGGAATGAAAAGAAGCAATCCTATTGGAGTTTTCCAAATTCAGTGATGTTTGGAACTAAAAGTAAACATTAAAATTGAAATAAAGTTACCAAAAAAAAAAAAAAGTTACAACAAAACATCAAGAGCGTTCCATTTTAACCCTAAAGAGGACAGGCAGTTACTAGCTGTGTCTACTCAAAAGCTTAGCATTTTCATGTAGATTTTTCTTTTTGTGATATTTAAAACACATTTTAAGTCACTTCAGCTTTTGCACTGAAAATGTCAATACAAAAAATTGAATGAATCATAAAGCCGAAAGTAATTTTAAACATTATTAAGACATAAAATAAATCCATAAAACTAGTCAGCATACTTAGTCAAAGAAGTTCAGATCAGGCCAAAGCACATTAAATATGTGAACAAATTTTTTTCTTTACATCATTAAGGATTTTTTAAAAAAAGCAACACATGCACACACACAAACTCAAACAGCACAAAATGGTGTAAGAAACGGGGCTCTCCTGACCAGGCTATGCTGTAACCACCAATCACCAAGGGCAGCCAACCCCAAGTCTTTAAAAATTCTTAACAACAGTATCCACAATACATTCTCCATCTTCTTTTACCCCTTTCTAAGTCTCAAGGTTTTGAGACTACCTTGTTTTTATTCATAGCATTTATTATCCTGACACTATGATACTGACTCATTTGCTTATTGTCTGATCTCTCTATATAATGCAAGCCTTATGTATACATGTTCTTTTTCATATCTCTCAAACAAAGAACAGGACCTACTATATGACAAGGGCTCAAAATTCATTGGATAAATGAATAAATACATCACACAGCACCGCGCCCCCGTCCTGGACTTACAGGCTCTAACAGCATCATAGTGGCCTGTTATCTTGACATGACATAACTGAGCTATCCTATCTTCTGCTGTTACCTTGGGTTTTGTTGTTGTTTGTTTTTTAAAGAACTGTTTCAAGGAGGTACCTTAAAGATCTAGTCTAAAACTCTTGACTATAGCTAAGGGAAAAAATTCAGAGTTGAAAAACTTTGCTGAAAGTTGAACAATCACTAAATGTCACAGCTGGAGCCAAACACTGGTTTCTTGAACTCTAGTGTTCATATTATTTACTTACATACACTATCCCAACAAAGGAAAGTGACATGGGGATTTAGCTAAATAAAGATGAAATGCCCCCAGTCCCCAACTCTGAGATCAACCTTCTGAGCCTTATCTAGAGAGGAGATTTTAAAAACCTTCAGTTAATTACTAAAACAGGAAGCATCATTATTTCTGGCTCTACTCAGATGACTTCAACCTAACTTCCTGACATTTGAAAGTTTTTAGTGTACTTTTTACCCACTTTCATCATGTTTATAAACATCTTTTATTTAATTAGTAATATACCAGTAATACCAGCAATATAAATGCTGGACATAGATGTTTAACTTTTTTGCTACTTCTGTACTTTCAAAAAAGAAATTATTTTAATTTATCCAGACTTATTTTTAAATAACATAAAATGTTTTTAACAAGCAAGCAATGACAGAATTTTTAATACTAAATTACTCAATTACTGCTATACAACAAGGAGAATCTTCCTTCAGCTCTGTCCTAGTAAAATGCATTGCCTAATATTCAATGTGTTGTTTTTGAGGTAAAAGAAATATACCTTAATAAAACTGTCTTATTTTCTAGTATTGTCTAACTCTTTTCCACAAATAAAAGCAAGAAGCATTCAAAATTAAGATATCCTTCTAAATCTATCTGAAATCCTTCCTCATATCCACCCCTTTCCTATGAATATGACCCCCAAACTTACCCATTTTTATTCCACCACCTTGGGATAACCTCACATTTCAGGGGCTGCACCACTGAAGTGGGCCAGCACAGCTCTGATTCTATAGCGTTCACTGAAATCTGCACATCCCAATTGTTGCAACATAAAGTGATTATGCGCCAAACCTCACAAACTGTTAAGCCAGCAACAATAGCAGCCATGCCGCAGTCCAGTTATTTTGGCTACTGGGCCAGAGACTCCCTAGGTCTTACTTCCGAGACTGCACCATACACTTTCAGGAACTACATAGGTGCATTGCAATGATAGCTAATATTTTCAGATCCTAAAAAGGCTTTTAAAATGAAATAAAAGTTAACCAGGCTTAAGGTATAAAAGCATACTGTAATAAAGTATTTCTAGTGCAGTTTTTAAAAAAAATGTATTTATTAGATCATTATCTTCCTTAACTTTTAATTTACATATACAAGTTAAATATTCTTTATTTGAAATACCTGAAATCACAAGTATCTCAGATTTTTGGATATTTTCCCAGACTTGGAAATACTTGCATATACACACAGAGATACCTTGGGGGCAGCACCCAAGTCTAAATATAGAATTCATCAATGCTTCACACTTTATATATGTAAGTTGAAGATAATTTTAGGTGGTTTTTTTAGCATGGCTGAAGTTTGACTGCAACTCATCAAATGTAGTACACAAAACTATCAGACTTTAGAATATTACAAATTTTGTATTTTTGTATTAGAGTTACTCAACCTAGTAATCACAATGCTGGGGTTGGGAATTTAGCTCAGTGGTAGAGCAGTTGCCTAGCAAGTGCAAGGCCCTGGGTTCAGTCCTCAGCTCCAAAAAAAAAAAAAAGACAAAGTGACAATGCTATCCAAAAAATGTCTGAAGAACAAACAAAAGACAGAAAGCAGATCTGATTCCTTAACCACAGAAGGGAAGAGAATGATCAATTTTAATGATTTCCTAAAGCAAGTGTAGCTAAGGATTTATTTCAGAAGGGGTTTAGGCAACCACAAATACTGTAGTCCAAGAATCAGCTCCACACCCTTTTTCAGCACCTCCTGGCTCAGAGGCTTTTACCTATCAGCCAATGGACACCCATTTGGTCCACAACATGGTAGCTAGAAAGTATCTTTGAAAGGCAGCGAGCGCTGCTGGTGGTGGGGAAGGATCTGTCAACGTCAGACTACAAATATTTTAAGCACGATCAAAGGCAATATCAATGATATTTTATAGGTACTTACGCAGCCATTTAAAAATATAAAAGTCTATGGCTCCCAGGCTATACTATAACAGGAAGACTTGCAAAGTCCTATTCTAGACAATCCTTTGCTTGCATTAAAGAGTTATTTAAGGGGCTGGAGAGATAGGTCAGCAGTTAAGAGCACTGGCTGCTGCTCTTACAGAGGACCGAGGTTTGATTTCCAGCATCCACATGGCTGCTAACAATCATCCTGTAACTCCAGTTCCAGGGGATCTGACACCTTCTTGTGACTTCCACTAGCATTGCACAACACAAGTACACTTACACAGATGCAGGCAATACACTCATACACATAAAATAAAAATGATAAGCAAAATTAAAGGAGTTATTTAATTAGTAGAGACAAGGGGAAACTGTAAACTGTAAATGTTTTCATTTCTATGCAATTACTAAAGCAAATTGTCAAGAAATAAATATAAAGAGGACATAACCACTAATTCAGACATCATGAATTGGAGACGAACAGAAACAAAGTTATCAAGAAAATAATAGGTATATACAGTAAACTTAATTATACCTATGGGGAAAAGAAGAGGTTATTAATGGGCTGGCAAGATGGCTTAACAGGTGAAAGCATTTGCTGCCAACCTGATGACCTGAGTTCTATCCCCAGGTGGAGAAAACTGACTCCTGCAAGTTGTCCTCTAACTTCCACAAATGTGCCATGGCACATCCATACACATAGCCACATACACAAAACAAATAAAATGCAACAAAAAATTAAAAATAGGTTATTAAATTAATAAAATGGGCCCTATCTTAGAGGAACAACTTTGGTGCTAGTCTTCTAAGTCCATGTGCAGATAAACTCTATAGCCCAAAGCAAGGGGAGATCACTGCACAGTCAGATTTGAGAACCAGTAATCTGGAATACCAAGGACTGCAATTAAAATTATTTTCTAGGATTAAAATAGCTCAGAAATAGCTATTTTATACCATAAGTAAAGTGCTAATAATAAACAGTGAACTCTCCGTTTCTGGGAAGAAATGCCGTTGCCTCCTGGCCCCACAGCACCGGACAATCAGGACTGGGTTTGTCTATGTTGTGTCAGGGAGAGGAAGGGCCAGACAGCTGCACCAGGAGGCAGCTTGCAACCTGCATTTATGAATGCCTAGAGGTGCCCTGTGGACACTCTGCTTCCACTCAGTTCCCAATGGCCAGGGAAGCATCAGGAGGCAAGCTGCTGCAGACCAAAGCCAGAATCCATGTATTATAAGCTTTTCAACTTCTTCCTAGTTACTAAAAAATTAGTGGTATTTTGCTAAGCAGCATATTCTATTATTTAGCTTTTAAAGTCTAGCTATCATTTATAGATTTATCAAAACCAAAGGGGGGAGATAAACCAGAAACATATAAATATGGGCATACTATGAAGTGATATTAAGGAAATGACTTATTTTATTAGGTCTGGTAGATAATGGCACAACAGGTCTGAAAATGTTGTGAAAGAGATGCATGCTGAATTACTCGTTCAGAAATGACATGATGTCTGGGGACTGGGTCTAAAATAATTCAAAAAAAGAGCAGAGAATGGAGGGACATCTCAAATAAAATGAGTGTGACACTGGGAATCAAAGGTGCTGGTGGGTCTGGAGGGTGGTCCACAGGGGAAAAAGATGTACTTTAAAGAATATATTAGTAAATATATCCCCAAATAGCTATATTTTATGTTAGTATATTCAAATAAATATTCTAGGGCGTTAAATTCCCAATTTAAAAAATAGGTGCTATATAAACTGCTAGTCGCATGCTTAAGACAACACAATGACTTCATGCAATACACTCACGCTGGTCAAATCTGAGACGCTGACGTCATCTACATCAGAGACAATACTCCCCCTACGATTGGAGCGACCAAAATAATCAGCAGTAGAAACCTTTCAGTCAGAAAAAATGAAGTTAGACAGAGAAGAGAAAGGAAAGAACATCGGTTAACAGTGGAAAGACTGTTTGCTGTTTTTAATTTGATGTATGAAAAAGGGTCATGAAATAACAAAACTTGCAATGAATCTACTTCAAAAAGTATAAAAAAGGCCAGGCATAGTGGCGCACGTCTTTAGACCCAGCACTCAGGAGGCAGAGGCAGGCAGATCTCTGTGAGGTCCAGGTCAGTCTGGTCTACAAGGTGAGTTCTAGGCCAGCTGGAGCTACAGGAAGATGCTGTCTCAAAAAAAAAGTATAAAATAAAAGAGGTACCCACATGAAGCCACAGTTCCCTAAAATAAGCCTTTTCATTGGTATCAAGTAGAATTCTATGCTAGGGACCACTTTCTTGCTGAGCTCTTTGGCAAGCAAAGCTCCCATGTGTAAGGCACTGGACACCCTTGACTGGGGCAGTTCCTGGGCACTATCTTCCTCATACCTCTACTGTATTTCACCACATTTATAATTCATTACAGTTACCACCTCTGATAATACCCCATTTTCCAACAGCAATTTCCTTTTTCACGTGTCAGAACAGGAACTGCAGGACAAAGTGATGGAGACTAGCTTAGAAAGCACCGTCTCACTCTCCACACAGTGAGCTTCTCAGCCAAGTCCCCGCTCTGACAAAGGATCATTCTCACACATACACACTTGATGCTCTGTCACATTCATCTGCTTTTTTCTGCATATACTGAGATTGTCTTCCTTTTTTGTTCCTTTCTTCACTAGCTTATTTCTACTGCTTTTACTATAAGGTCAGAAATCTGTTCTTGGTTAACACATTATTCCCAGGACTTAACTCAGTGCCTCAACTGTAACAGGTACTCCATACATACCTATCAAGTTAATAAATTAGCCTCACCTCACTCAGTTATTTGTAACCTAAGCTGTTTACTTTGCCAAAAAGTAGATGCAGAAACCTATTTACTGAGAAAAAAGAGTTCTAAAAGTATGAAGTCTGCTGAAAGCTAACAAGATCAAGCAATGGTACTTTTATTCATAAAATAGTACTACAACCCAGATTTATACATACTAATAAACATGAGCACCTACCATCCTAGAACTTTTAAAGATATTTTCCATATACTTACTCATTCAATCCATACATTAAGTCTAAAACTAAATACCCACTAACATCTCCACTGTACAGAAACAATCAACAGGTAGCGGAAGTCCAGGCCTGCAGAGCCCCATCACTGTGGTCCCTGCCCTTTCCACCCCACTGTTTCCAGGGTGCTGTCATGTGTGGCATCTTTCTCCTTCAGCAGTGAGAGTGAGTATTCATTACCTGCTGGGCTGAGGGATCACAACTGCTTAACTGAAATGAATCTGGTACCAAATCTGGGTTTCACTCTCTATTACAAACTTCAGGTTTGTAACTGTTCACATAATGCAGCTTGCACTAATTGATGCATGTACTATTTTCTAGAAGAAATCAGATTCACAGGGCTCTTTATTCTCGCTCCAAACTGACACACCATCCTCTATGTATTTCCACATCAGTTTCTTGAGCGCAAGAAAAATGTCATCAACTCTGTAAAATTTCTAGCTTCATTAAAGAACAGCCTGAAATACTATCATTTGTATTCTAATGTAGCCACAATGTCTGCAATTATTAATTGGTTGAATATCTGAATTAACATCTTTTAAATTTTGCCACCAGAAGCTTAAAAAGATCACGGTTTAATGTCTGCATAGACACTTAAATACACCAGTAAAAGAAGCAGCAGACAGCAACACGATGCCTAGTCCTCAATTACAAGTGCTACACAACAATGGAAGGGTGACTTCTGCTTGAGAAGCTGTTTTTGGAAAACAAACATAATAAATACATGTATCTAAAGCAGCAACAAAGAACAAAATGTGAAAATTTTTCAATAGATGTCTTATATACAAGACATGTGCGTGACTCATTCTCAAGATCACGTTACAAAGTATTCCTATTAACAGTATTTAAGGAAAATGCTCACTTTATCAAATGCAAATTTTACTATCCAGCAGACTTTCCATAATCACACACTGTTGCCATTTTAAAAGTTGTATTTGTTTACATGCAAACCATGCTCACCACATTCTCCCTTCGCCCTCGAGTGGCACGATCAGAAGACACAACGCTTGCAGTGTCATCGTCAATGGACTAGATATTAAATGCAGAAAGTGAAAAAGACTGAATTTCACTCTCAGTCTCACCAAACTGTAAACACATTATCAAAATTTCAGAGAGCACACAGTCACTCGATCCAAGCATTATTATCAGCATAATCTACTGTACCATTTAAGAGGTAAGTTGCTACAAGGCATAATGAACTATCATTAAAAGATCTAGGTACTTCCCCAAAGCACAAAGAATAAGTAAAGTTTATCTTTTATTCAAGTTAATAACGAGGTAAACGTATAAGTAAACTAGACAAAACGATCTAGGAAGTTCATGCTCTTTTAGACTGCCAGGTCCAGTCACTGGGGTCCCATTAGAGGTCAATAAATACACTTAGGACTTCAGTTTTGGAAAGAAGAAGAAAAAAAAAAAAAAAGGTGCTTTAAGGCGAAGTAACATTTCAATGACAGATTTCCCTACCGGCAGACACAGCAGTGGTGATTTATTTCCCTGACTCATTTCAACCAAGTTTGTGGAGATGGCTCAGTTACCCCTACATGGGGCAGTGTCCAGCTTTATTGGCAGTAGAATGACTCATCTTTAGTGTGTACTGTTTATTTCCATTCTGATATCACTAAGAAGCCATTCTGGCATCATTAAGATATTTAATTCTGAACCCAAATTGCAAATATAATAGAATCTAGCCAGCTCACAGGGTCAAGGACCTACACTGGTATGTTTCTGAAAGTGTATTATCAAATTTTTGCTTACAGGGGACCACCACACTTAACAAATTAAAAAGGTCACCAGGCCTGAAAATTGCCAAGTAGAACTTTATTACACAGTGAGTTAAGAGTAAACTTCCCTCTTACGTGGAAAAGCCCTTATAGCCTTAAACATCCCAGGTTATTTTTTTTGTTAGGTATGCAAGGATAGCATTTTGGAAATGGCAGAACTACAAATATAAAGATAAAAGAAAGTCCACAGAACTCAATTATTCCCTCTACAAAGTAATCTTTTTTTTTTTTTTCTGTCTTTTTGAGACAGGGTCTCCTTGTAGCCCCAGCTGTCCTGGAACTCACTATGTAGACCAGGCTGGCCTTGAACTCACAAAGATCCGTCTGCCTCTGCCTCCCAAATGCTGGGATTAAAGGTGTGCGCCACCATGCCTGGCTTTTTAAATCTTTTTGAGACAGGGTTTCCCTGTTGTCCCAGCTGGCCTGGAACTCACTATATAGACCAGGCTGGCCTTGAACTCAAGATCAGGCATGCCTGCCTCTGCCTCCTGAGTGCTGGGACTAAAGGCATGTGCCACCACACCCAACAATCTACAAAGTGATCTTTAATTATTATAAATAATTTCTCCAGTTTGGGGCATTGTAAGGATAACAAGATAGTCCCTTAAGTCCTCATTTGCCATTGGAATGCAAATTAGTAGTCTTTTTGGTTGTCAATAATGGTTGTACATAACATAATTAAGATGCACATGTTCTTGAAGTCCCATCATTTCATAACATGCAATTTACCATGCACACCTACTCATGTAAATACATTGTGTGAATGTGTGTGCAAAATGTTCATCAAGAAGGCTCAGTGGATAGAGTGACTGCTGGACAAACACAGGATGTAAGTTTAGATTCCCAGCACCCATGGAAAAGTCAGGCACAGTAGCATGTGCATTGAGGGGCAGAGACAGGCAGATCTCAGAAGCTCACTGGCCAGCCAATCTAGCCCCAACAGTGAGTTCCAAGTTCAGTGAAACTCTGTCTCAAAAAATAAGGTGGAGAGGAGCAATAGATGAAGACTCCTGAAGTTTACCTTTGGTATAAAAATAATGTCCAAAAACCGGACTCAGAAGGATACTTTAAGAAAACATGGAGGAGCAATATATGCTGAACCCATTTGTGTTTAAAATGAAAAGCACTCACACATGCACAAAACATCTCTGAAAGTACATATGTGATTATGGGCCCCATGTGGGGACTTCTCTGGGGACATTTACTCTGTACTTTCTTTTACTATTATTACTTATATAAACTAAAAAATAAAATTTAGGGGTTGGGGATTTAGCTCAGTGGTAGAGTGCTTGCCTAGCAAGTGCGAGGCCCTGGGTTTGGCCCTCAGCTCCGAAAAAAAAAAAAAAAGACAAACTAAAAAATAAAATTTAATTCTCCAGAAGAACAAGGTAGTTCTACAAAGTTTTACTTCATTTTTAATTAATTTTAATTTTATGTGTATGAGTGTTATGCCTGCATGTATGTAAGTGTACCCATGTCATACAATGCCCATGGAGGACAGAAAAGGGTGTTGGATCCCCTAGAACTGTAGTTATGGACGGCTGTTAGCTGCCATGTGAATGCTGGGATTCGAATCCAGGTCTCTGAGCCATCTCTCCAGTCCTATGGATCAAGTTTTAAATGTTTTACTTCTTCCACTACATCATGGACAGAGGGCTGGTCAGGAAGTCAAAAGGCACAGTGCAGAAAGATACAAAGGAAAAGCCTAGGGCAGCACAACCAACATGAATTATCACACAAATGACAATATAGAAACGTAATGCCTGTTCAATGGCCACAGCTCCAGCCTCAGTTAAGAAATTATACACACACAAAAACTGCTAATTAGTACAAATTAGTACTTGATAATTTGTGAACTTGGGGAGCACCATAATCCAAGCACAAGACAGTGAAACACACCACTCTCAATATTCTAAAGGGTGAGTGCAGGTTCATGAAGTAACCAAATATTTCTCTAAAGCATGCAGAGAAAGCAGACAGCTTACCAGAGGACTGCTTCGGGTAGAGCTTGTTCTTGATGAGTAATAACTGTATTCAGATGGCTATAAAGTTTCCAAGAAGAGAGACTTTACAACAATGGCCAACTCCTCTTTTCATTGAGAATACATCGGTGGCCCAAGATCTATCCTGACTCTGACTCCCAAGATACAGAGTAGCTGCCTTGGTCTAGCTTGCTACCTCATGTCCACCCTCAAAGAGGGAGGGGATGCCCCCCAGGTTTCTCTATTGTTTCTCCTCATATTTTAACCTATAATTTCCAGCAGGCACCTTCTCACAGCTAGCTGAAAGAATGGGCCACAGCTTGTAGTGTAGTTAGAGGTCAAATTAAATGACTTTCTTTGTAGATGAGGAAGTCATTCCTTTGCTGCCCCTCCTATAGCTCCCCCCTCTTCATGACATCCCCATTTAGACTTACAGTTCGAGAACCATAAGGGTTATATAATCCACCATCATGAAATGATGCCTGAAGAACAAAAGAAATACCATTTATCTATTTATCATAGGTGCAATTTTAAAAGCATATTGACTTTTTCGATGGTTCACTGTCTAAAAAGCCTTGGCGCACGCCTTTAATCCCAGCACTCAGGAGGCAGAGACAGGTGGATCTCTGTGAGTTCAAAGCCAGCCTGGTCTACATAGTGAGTTCCAGGACAGCCGGGGCTACAGGGAGACCCTGTCTCAAAAAGACAAAA